TCCGCCCCTGCGCAGAGGCGCAACCTCAACAACTTCCGCAAGGGTGTCCGACAAGCCCTCTCCAGCGCCTTCTCCAGCACCGATGTCGTCGAAGACCTTGAAGCCCAATTCCTCCAACTCAAAGCCCTAGCCGATATATCCCCCTCCAAATCAAAACCCACAACCGAACCTTCCACTTCAAGCCAAGCCTCCTCCCCCACCACCACCACCACCACCAACACTTCCTCAACCTCCTCCGCCAATCTCCCCGAATCCGTCCTCCCAACCCCGCCACCCCACGAAATATCCTCCGCAAAACCCACATCCTCCCCAAGCACCCCTCAAGACCCCGTCCTCGCCGCCGCCCTCAAACAAGCCATCGAAAACCCCACCGCCCCGCTGGACGAAACCACGCACCCCCAGATCTCCGAGGAAGACCTTACCGTCCTTCGCCAGGCCCTGTACCAGCTGCACGAGAACCCGATCGACAGTCTGAAGCCGTACGCCACCCCCTGGCGGCCGCGCGACTACATGAGCGCCTTCGCGTTCATCCCGCGCTACCTGGAAGTGAACCAGAATATCTGCGCTGCCGTGTATCTGCGCCATCCCGTCGCGAGGCCGGGCCGGTCGGAGGTGCCGTCGCCGTATCCTGATTCTGTTAACGGCGCGGCATTTGTGTGGTATTTGAGGCGGAGGTAGGGTGTGGTTTGTGTTACTCTTTTATTTTATTTTATTTTATTTATTTTATTTTTTTTTATTTATTTTTTATTTTTTTTTTTTTTTTTTAAAGGGGTACGGCAAGAGGAGAGAGGCGGCGGTGGTTTGTACGTATGTACTTAAATGTATGCATGGATTTGGTAGCAGGAGGGGAAAAGGAGCATGTAGTCTTGTGTATGTTGGCGATATGGAACACTGTCTGTATAGTAGAACATTGATTTTTTTTTTTTTTTTTTTTTTTCCCTTTTTTTTTATTTTATGCTATTTTTAAAATAAATAACAATTGTTTAATTGTGAAATGTGTGAGCACTTCTGTTGCTCTCCATTTCTTGTCCTTCATTTTTGCACTTCTATGTAATGAAGCTCTCTCAGTATCTCTTGAAAGCTTACTGTGCCATGCTGTTCTGTTACAATATTTGTACATTATAACTCCCTGAACATAGACTACACCTTATCACTAAAAAAAAAAAAAAATTAAAAAAAAAAAAAAAAAAAAAAACAAATATTTGGCAATGAATGCAAAATCTGGCTTAATTACATAATGAGTACAATGAGAATAAATCAAATCCCAATCAGCCTTTGCAGTTCTGATTGCTGTGAATTACTCTTGTTATTCCAGTGTGTTCGTTCTTCTCTGCCAGTTTCTCCACTCTCTTCAGCTGATCATTCTTGGCTTGGGCGGGGCGAGTAGATCTGTAAAAACATGCATAAAAACA